AAGTATTCCTCAAAAGTTTTTTCTTTAGGATCCCAAAGTGGCTTTTCTCGAGAGATGACTTCAGCAAAGCGAGAGTTACGCTTTTTCCGTCTTCGTGACTCTTAAAGAAAAAATCAATTTTAGTGGAAATAAAACCGCTTACTATCGAGTCGGCCACGAAATTGTGATTCTTCGTTGGTGTCTTCAGTTTCAGCATCCAATGCTTTGTTTTTCAAAGTACCTATATAGACTCACTTTTTTCTCTATCAAAAATCCCCTTACCAAGCTCAACATTGTCTGGATCGTCACTCTCATCCCCATCAAATTCGTCTTCCGAGAGATCAGAAAAGACTGGCTTTTCTAAGTCGTCGTCAGCGTTTGCTTCCCCTTTGCCATAATATTGTTTATCGAAAACTTCCTAAATCAGTGGTTAATTTACACAGTTGAAATTCCTAAAACCTGCATCCGGCGATCATACTCTGCAGGGTCAAAATCTCCTTCGAGATCATCGATATTCAAAGCAATATCGTCACCAGCCAACTTTCGAAGTTTTGCCAATTTTTTATTGATTTCGGTCTAAATGTTGAAGTTACTTGGGATTCCTAAAAGTGTTCACCTTTTTCATGTTCTTCATCTGTTGAATTTCTTGCATCTTTTCTTCCTTTTCTTTTTTCTTTCGTTCCCGGTGAGCCTCACGTTGGTCTTTTCGTTTCGAGTCTTTTTTTCTCAACGTTTCGGCAACTGTTCGAGGATATTGTCTGATCTGAATAGCAGCCTTGTGATAAAATGCAAAATGATTATAACTCACAAAATCTTGGTCAGGTTCTTCATAGCGTAGATTGTACTTTGTCTCAAACTCCTCTTGTTGATCAACTTCTTTCTCATCTTGTTCGACTTCACAAATTTGGTCATAGGTTGGAACACTAAAATCTGATATGAACTGTAAAATTTTTCAACGTACCCATCGTCATCACCCAATTCATATTCTTTGTTAATAAAGAAATCTCTCAAAAAGCGCTCGTCGTCATCCAAGTTTTTATCGGACCATGCCTACTTGAATCATCAAAGTGCAATTTGTTTTTACAAACCTCTTTTAATGGACGCAATTCTTCGGAGTAATTTGTTGGCTTATTGTCTTGGCTTTTCAGCCAGGTATAATAATTATCATTTTCTTCTTCCTAAATTATAAAAAGTTTCTCAAAAAACACATAACCGACCTTTTCAGTATTGCTCTTTTTTCTTCTAGTCAACAAATCATTCTCCTGGCCGTCATCAAAGGTTTTATTGATGGCTTGTTTAATTCTTAAAAAATGTAAGTAAAATATTACCGTATTTAACTCACTCTTTTTTTAGACGGTCTTGAACTTCATAATAGCCTTCGTCTTCTATCTTGGGTTCTTCTTCTTCATCGTCTTCTTCAAACTTTCTAAATTAGACTTTAGATTTACTTTAGATAAAACGACCAAACCCTTCTTTTTCCGTCACGATTTTGCGCTCATAATCTCGCAGGTAGAGAGGTTTATCCTTTGTTTTCTTCCCAGTTTTCTTTTTTAAAACCTCGGATTGAGCATCCTTTTCCTAAAAATGAACGTTAAATCAAGCTAACATTGACAAATAAACAAAAATTACCTTGAAATACAGCTTCTTGTCGTCATAAATCGATGAGTTGTTTGTTTTCAAGGCACCGAGAATGTGGAGAAAGTTCTTCTCGTCATCAGCTGTCCATTCCTGTAAAAGTTCAAGTAATTCAATAGAAGTATCCACAATTCTCACCGGTTCAGATTCACTAGAACTTTCATCATCTTGCTCAGCAACATCGTCACCATATTTGTCTTTCACTAAATGCAATAACGGATCATTGTAAAAACTAAATAGTTACTTTTCTGCATTTCTTCCAGCCGCCTCCAATTGTCGTAGCGTTCGGCATATTGATTGTTGATTTTTAAGCCGCTTGTGCTCGGTCCATCTTCGTCATCAAAAAGTTTGAGCTTCTTGCCGGTCATCTGGAACATAAACGTATAATGAATTCTCCACAATTAAAATCGTAAAAGGAAAAAAAGTGGCAGAAAGGGGAAAAACGCAACAAGCTTTAGAAAACAAGCCTGTATTAATTATTTTTAAATTTTAATGATATTCGATCAACGAGTTGAAGTTTAATTTTTCGTCGCTCAGCAGCCTAGGCCAATTTCCGCCATTTTATTTGTGCAATAGGGCCATTTGCGCCAAGTGGCGCAAATAAAATGGCAGAAATTAGCCAACCCCGCTTAGCTTTTCAGAGCTTCATTTTGGATCTTTATCTTTTTTTCGTTCTTTATGGCGCGCACAGAGTTGTAATCTAGTTTGGTCTTACTATTAGAGGTTTTTGCTGAATTTGGACCGCCGAACCTCCTAGAACTTTAGAAGACGCTACTTAAAGCCTGATGTGCTGGCACATTGATTTTTTTTTGCCGATTTTTTCCTTAAGCGTCATTTTTTACGTAAGCGTTAGTTCTACATTTCATATTTTCCGTTTTTCCTCTGCAAATTAATTAAGTCGAAACAAAATATTTAGGAGGACGAAGACGAGGCAACGACTACTTGGAAACGACGGACGTGCCCCCAACAACGTTCAATATCAACTGGAACCAAGTTAACGTGAGGATTTTCTTGTAACTGTTTAAATTTGAAACTCAAGACGGAATTATGACTCGTGCAGGGTAGTGGTATAATCTTGCACGTGGGATACAAAGGGAAATCCAGAAAATCCCTTTGGGGATGGCGCTATTGACGTAGGAATTTGGCAAAGGCACAGAGAAATTTTGTCGATAGGAGCTTTAAAAACGTTTCGCTGCTTTTGCATTGACTGAAAAGGAAAATGAGAGCAGTGTTTATTGATGAAAAATAAGAATAAGATGAATTATTTATTCACAGGAAAAGCAAGTTTAAATAATATAACAGATCGCTAAAATTTACAAATGTGTATGATGCTTGAATGCTACACGTAAAACAAGTCGGTAATACGAGTGCTTATTAATGAAAGATAAAATGTCTTTTAATACTGACCGACTTAACAATTAAATAAATCATAGAATGCTGTGTACAGGTAAATGTTGTGTGCATGGATGAGAATGAGCGGCTTTTCGAAGACTTCTCATTCAGCAGTTTGATTGAGCTAAAATCCCTTTGGCTTAAAGCTTGTTCAGTAGCAAAACAAACTTTTTTATGAACGCTACCGAGGCTGAGTTGATCATATGATGGCGGGGGTACACCATCCTTTGGTGGTCCATATTCAAAAGGAACCTGTGAAACGCTTTGTGCTATTAAAACCGTTTTGGTTTACGTTTTTCTCAAAGTGAAGTGGCATAGCTTTGCTCCCTGGCACTACCGAAACGCTTGCCATTCGTCCACAGTTGGTCTAGAAAATAAGAAGTAAAGGCTGGGTGTTGAAATTCACCACTCTTTGATATCGTTCAGAGCGGCTTTTCAAAATACGAGTGAAGATGAAGATAGCGCAGAGAATCGCGAGAAGCGAAAGAGCCAAGAAACAAATCTAAAGTTTCTTTGGCCAGCACAAAGACAGCTGTAAGTTTTTGTTTCCAAGACCAACCTGGAAAATCAGTGGAAGGCGCTCCTTGTTGTACCAGGGTTGTTGAGAGCCTAAATTGCTTGATTATTCTTAAAATACAAGCAAAGAACATTGTTAGCTAGCTTCGACACGCAAAGTTAGATGGAACTGATTTGTCGTCAACGTTAGGTATTCACCTTGCCATCCATTTGAATTAAAGTCATCGTCATCGTTAGACAGCTCTTCAGCTTTAGAAAGAGGGTGTACAAACAGGATTGGCTCGCCGAATTGATTTATATTACCAACTTCACCTGCACAACAACATTCAAATCATGCATCAATTATGCTTTTAAAGACCAACCTTGTTGCTCAGATTGTGCAAAACCGTTGGAACCAAAACTTTTTGGATGATTAGACTAAAGTTTATGTTGTTAGGCACGCTTTTTGGGGCTAAATAACCTGAAATGAGTTGTCGGAAGAATCAAAATTCTTAAAGAACCGTTCCCTCATTTGGGCAAACATTCTGTCGAAGCTATCTTCGAAGCTAAATCTTACAATTTATCTCATCTGACTGAATGATTAATGCCTCTCGAAGTGATCCTCTGCGGAACTTTTCTGAAGAGGCTTTTGTCCAAAGATTTGGAAGAGATCGTGACTTGGAAGATCCTACAACAATTTCTTTTATTGGCTACTGTCGGAAACTTACAGAATTTTCAACCGATCGGTCTTCTTTGGGGCCATCATGCTTGATAACTTGAACTTCTGGCTTTCCCTTCCCGTTGTAGTTCATGCTCATCTATAACGGACGCCACTAGTTAGCACAAGTTGGTCATTGTGCTTACGAAAACGGAATTGATCATAGGAAGGCCGCATGCAAAATGACAGGCTGATGCTTCATTATTTGTCGAGTTCTCGTAGATGGATTCACATTTTCGATAACAGTCGATGAAGAGAAACATTCCAATGTCATTTTTTCGGTTTTTACAACCCACAAAGCAAGCTCCTTGCTAAAATATTATTGAATTAATGCAAAAAAATAACAATTTTACTTGGGGCTCATTATCGTACTTGTCTCGACACTTTCGTTGACAAAATGATAGATCACTTGCCAAAACGGCAGCCAAAAATGTGGCTATATAAATATAGCCCCGCATTTCTAAATGTGTAAGATTGATTCTATGTTTAACTTTAAACTTTAATTTAACTTTAAAAAATAACAAAAACCATAAAGGCTTTTTCTTGCAAAACTTTATAGAAATCGTTTCAAAACGGTTGTTTTCTCAGTTTGTTATCCACCGAAAATCGATGGAGAGGGAAAAGAAAAAAAGACGAGAGGTGAGAGTAAAGACACGTTGCTGTCACTTCTGCAGGAGAATCCTTTACATCATTATAAAAAAATTTATAAATGGTGTATTTTTGAAGAATAAATAAGTTAAAGGCATTGAATTTATATGTTGTTTAATTTTTAGAACGCTGGATGAAGGTCCTCTTTTTGCACCCGGACCTTGGAATTGGAGGTGCCGAACGTCTTATTATTGATGCGGCAATTGCATTGAAAGTCGGTAAATTATTTTCTCCTTTCGCCATTGTTTATTTTAGAATAAACACCACGATGTAAAAATAGTGACAGCACAATATGACGAGTCGCATGCGTTCAGCGAAACAAAGGAATTAGGTTTATTTCGATTGGAATTTATTTGTAAATGTTGTTATTTAGATGTCAGAGTTATAAAACTCTTTCCGAGACACATATTGGGCAGATTTTTTGCTCTTTGTGCGTACATTCGAATGATTTTTGCTGCCATTGCGATTTGCCTAAAGATGGATTTTGATGTCGTTGTTTGCGACCAAGTTGATTTTTAAAGAGTTGATATCTAAGAGTACCATAAATAGCTGACTGCAACTTTTAATAGATTTTTACAGGTTTCTGCGTGTTTGCTGGTTTTCAAGCTGTTTTCAAGCGCCAGGAGGATATTTTATTGTCATTATCCGGATATGCTTCTCACCGAAAGGAAAACGTATTTGAAATCTATGTATAGGTATGTTTTCAGCTTTTAATTAAAGTGTTCCTCTTTAGATTTTTACTAGATTCTTTCGAGGAGTGGACGACAGGGATGGCTGATATAATTTGTGTGAACAGTCAGTACACTGCCGGAGTTGTTCGTAGCACTTTTAAATCTTTGAAAGGTAAGAAAAAGCATTTTAAGGAATATAATAAATACTATTCAGATCATAAATTAGAGGTCGTGTATCCATCACTCAACATGAAATATTTTGACGAGATTGAAACACGAACGGTTGAAGAAGTCAGTGCAACATGTAACATTTTAGTGTTTACCATTCAGATTCCTGAAGATGCGAAGTTTGTATTCATGTCATTAAATCGATACGAAGTCAAGAAAAATGTCGCTTTGGCAGTTAAAGCCTACGGTACCTATTTCATTTGCTTTCATTAAAGAACTTTTTTAGCACATCTTCGTCACATTTTATCTGCTACGGAATTTGATCATACATGTCTGGTATTTGCTTTCTTGAAGCACTTTTATTTGAAGCTTAGGTTATTGCCGGAGGATATGACAAGCTTAATCAAGAAAACGTGACTTATTATCGTGAATTGGTTGACCTTGCGTTGGCTAACGATATTCCATCGCGACATATTGTATTTCTCAAGTCTCCATGTAAGTTTTGAATAATATTAACTGATCTTTTTACACTTAGCTGATCGAGAAAAGGCATATTTACTGAAACGTGCAACAGCCGTTCTTTATACTCCGCACAATGAGCATTTTGGTATTGTGCCCATTGAGTCTATGTACCTTGGCAAACCCGTAATAGCTGTGAATTCTGGAGGTATAATATGTTAAAACTATCATACAAATTGTTGATTTAGGACCAATGGAAACGATTGACGACGGGAAAACTGGGTTCCTTTTGGAGCAGGCACCACAACAGTTTGCAGAAGCAATGAAAACAATACTACAACGAGAGGATTTAAGGTGCTTGATTTAATCAAACAAAGCAAAAGGCCCATAAGACTTAGAAACATTTGTACTTGAAAACCTAAAATAAAAGTTCTCCATAAATATCATAATCTAGTTGGTGGTTAGCTTGACGTTGATCGATCCTTTCTTGGCGTTTGCTTTGAAATGCTGTTCGGCGTTAGGAGGTTTCTCTGCACAGTACATGTATTCGACGACGAGCTTATCGACTTTAGGCACTACGATCTAGAAATAAACAATTCATAGATTGAAACGTTTTAATTTACCATTCGTTGGATTTCGAGTGAAGCTCCTTGATTGGGCTCGATAATACTATAAACGGGGTCGATCCGATACATTTCATTACTCGATGACTTTTCCTAAAAAGGTCTTATTCTAGTAGGATCGGATAACTAAACCTTTTGCGATTTTTTGATGATCTGTAGGGCAAATTTATCACCAGCAGCTTTCATCTAGAGAAGATTTTAGAACTCTCATTTGGTCAAATATTGATTAGTTAAAAATAAAAAATACCGTAATTTCTGGTGGATCAATGATCAGATCTGATGGTATTCCTTCATTTGACATAGTCGACATGCTTACGAAATGATGCAGAAATAATAGGATGATTTTTTTCGGGGAACATTTTTCCACATTACTATGCTGTATTAATTTATGCAAATTTTAGATTGTTGGCTGCCAAAGAGGGTCCAAAACGGGTGCAACGATTATTTGCTTTTGAGGCCTTTGCGACGCAATTTGATCGAATTATTCGCGGATTGCCGGTTGATTGAAGCTGTGATTCGTATATTTTTTTAAAGTTCTTTGTTTATTAGTTACTGTGTTTTGCTTGTTTGTTGATTTTAATAAATGAATTCTTAAGCATTTTACTACTTTGAGAAGTTTTCTTTGACTATTGCTATTTGAAATTCTCACACTGGTGACTATGGCAACCCTTACTTGGTTTACTTGCTTTTATTGGTGCTTCCGATTCATAAATTAATTTATGTATCGCACAAATCTTTTTGGGGTAAGTTTTTTCGATAAAATGTGCTTGAAAACCTCATTTGTGAGATTCATTTTAAGTCAAAAGCCGCTTTTCCGAGTCGCGCGTCTCAAATTACATTCGCATTTCACAATTATGGAAAAGCTAAATTCATAACTAGTGCCAATTCATATTCATTCAATTCACTCAAAATATAGCTTTATTTCGCCATGACTGTTCCTGTAAGTTCTTTTTGAAACGGCAGAAAACAAACGGTGAATATGGTTAAATGAATGTGTTCACGCGTCTGTATGTTTAGTTTCTTCCCTCTTTTCAGCAGGGGTGTTGCCGTGTTTCTCTTTTCGCCCTGTATGTTCCTCACAGCAATGACCTTCGCTATTTTTCCAGCCTCTCACTGTCGCAAAAATTGAATCGATTTTTCGAAAAAGGGGCGGTATCTTTCGTAGATCGCAAAACGTAATTTCATAGAGGGATGCTATGTAGTTCTTCTGTCCTTATCTTATCTCATCTCGCGCCGCGTTTCTTTGTAGTATTCATAGGCCGTAGTTTAAAATTTTCTAGAAACCCCTTTTTAGCTTACATCATTTCAGTCAATAATTGAAAGATTCCAATGACGATTTCGAATCCTAGGATTAATGCTACATTTATCTTTTCTTAAGGTTTTTCTATATTTTGTAAATTTCAGATGTCGAAAGCCTTCATTGGAAAGCCTGCCCCCGAGTTTGATGCTCAGGTAATTCTTTTTAATTGTTTCTGAAACATTTGTTGGTTTAGGCAGTCGTGGATGGCGACTTCAAGCAAGTCAAGCTCTCAGACTACAAGGGTCACTACGTAGTTCTCTTCTTCTATCCTTTGGATTTGTAAGCTGGAGAGAAATTAAAGTCACTCCTCATATTTTAGCACTTTTGTTTGCCCAACTGAGATCATTGCCTTTTCTGATCGTTTTGAAGAGTTCAAGAAGCTTGGTGTCACTGTGTTGGCCTGCTCGACCGATTCAGTCTTCAGGTTTGTTGTTTTGATGATCATCCTCATTGTTTTTGTTTAGCCATCTTGCTTGGATTCAAACCCCAAGAAAGCATGGAGGTCTTGGTGACATGAACATCCCCGTGATTGCTGACACCAACCATCAAATCTCGAAGGACTACGGTGTCTTGAAGGAGGATGAGGGAATTGCTTTCCGAGGTTCGTTTTTTAAATTATTTTTATGGTAAGCTTTACAAGAATTTGTTTAGGACTTTTCATTATTGATCCCAAGGGAATTTTGCGCCAAATTACCATCAATGACTTGCCTGTCGGACGATCTGTTGATGAAACTCTTCGATTGGTTCAAGCCTTCCAATTTGTTGACAAGGTAAAAATTAGGGTCCTACATATGTGTCAACTGTCAACAAGCCAAAACCAAAATGAAAATGGAAAATGGATGTAGTTGAACCAAATTTGTCAGTCACTATTTTGGCTTAAACATTTACTATTCAATATATTTCAGCACGGAGAGGTCTGCCCAGCCGGTTGGACTCCTGGCAAAGACACGATCAAGCCAAACGTTAAAGGAAGCAAAGAATTCTTCGAGAAACACTAAAAGATTTCCATTTGTCAGTCTTTTTTGTTTGGTAGAAGTTTCTTATATCTAAGCATCGATTCTATTGAAACTTTTGAATCCGGTTTGTGTTTTGTCATATTTCAAGTTGAATAGGTTTTATCGTAAATAAACCATTGGATCTTCAGAGATAAATACATCTTGGAAGCTTTATTCGTGGGCAATATTTCTGTCTAACAATTTGAATTTGAAAAACGAAAGAATTGTGGAATGTTTTTACCATTAGATATCTTGGAGTTAGCTATTTTTTGTGTAAATTAAAGGGATCTTTTGATTGCAGCTACTTATAGCTACAGATAATTTCACAAGTACGTGTGAGGCCCCAGTACATGTTTAATCGGACGCCTCACAACAAGCGAGCAAAATTTTAAGGCAAAGGCCCCGATTTGGCTGAGTAAACTCTCAATGCTAGTAAAATGTTAGCTTAATCTAGTCAGCAATACTTTTTTATTGATCATGCTTTTTTCCGTTAACCAATCCGTTTAAAAAAACGTTCGTTTTTCAGAAAATGGGTAACTACTATGTTAAACCTGAACGTGCCGGAAATTCACCATATACCCGTTCAGGATTGCCTCCGCCAAAGTTGGATCCAACCGGCGACAAGCCATTGCATCGGTAAGATTTTAATAACACTTAAGTTTGGTCATGCTAAGACAATTTTATTAATTTAGGGGTGGTAATGCAATGTCGTTGGAAATGCACATGGCTGATGAGAGGGCTCGAGCGCGCGGATTGACACCGGCTGAACGTGAATGGCGTATGAAATGGGTTAAAGTATGGTTTACTGGTATTGGGAACATTTTAGTCGTAAATTTTGAAGAAACCAATATTTGCTTTGTTTAGGATCAAAATCTACATCCCGATGAACCGATTGCTGTTGATGCAGTTCACAGACAACTCAATCCGATTCGAATTCTTTACAGGTTATTTATAGTGCAATGGTTCATTAATCCAACACAAAATTGTAAGAGTTATTACTACCAATTTTTGAAGATGGTTGGTCTATTTTGCGTTTGTTTCAATTCGACGGTTTGGCTTGTTTCTTCAGGTTTTCGCTTTTCCTGGCACTAAAATAAGTGTTGATTTAACGAATTGGAAAAGGTGCCTTCGACCGAACAATTCTTTCATTTGTTTGTATACTGGGTTGTTTTCCATTTGCTGCACTACCACTTTCACTTCCTAGTAGTTTGCATCCTGCTTTGTCTCACATTTTCCTAAGTACAAAACAATGATTTTATATTGTCAAACCCCTACTTTTCCACTTGACTTTTCGGATCTGCCTTTCTGGATCTTCTTTTTTTTCCTCTAATCAGTTTAGTTAACGAGAAACAGAAATATCAGACATTTACTGTGGCCCTTCCTTTTCATCAGCGCTATTCTCGTCTTCTTTGTCTTTGCTTCTATCGTCACCTTTCTTCACTGAATCGTTTTTGTATTTCTAAAAGGCTTATAGGCCAGAAGTAGATTAAATGCTTACTTTTTTAGGGTCCTTTTTTTGCCAATCCATTGAGGAGGGGGCTCTTCAATCAATTCCTTCTTCTCGAGCAATTCTTTGTTCCTAAAATCTAAGTTAATTGATTATCTAGAGGGAGAAAGCTCATTCGAATAGTACCATAATCGGGCGCAGAGCTGTACGCCAATTCGTCAACAAATTTTATCACTCGTCTGAAGTCCTTTGGCACTTTATCGAAAATGGCGTTAACTAAATTTCATACTGAATGAAAATCCGGTAGAACAAACATTTTTGTTAAAGTGAAAGAAGGATTTCTTCAGGCTTAGCACTTCTTCCTTGTTGACTTTCCTCCGGCACGGAACAAGATTTTGATCGAAAAGATCGATCAGCATATAACACCACACCTTAAGATAGATAACTTAAAACTTGCAATAAAGTAAACACCTCTAGGTCATCTTTTCGTCCCTGTTCAACATTCATGTGGCAATTTCTTGACGCAAAGCGAACAGTCCCGATGAACTTGGTCTTTCCCCTTGGCCTAAAAAGGATCGGCACTTATGGTTAAATGAGTAACTCACTTTAATCTCTTCTCCGAATCAATTTATCTCCTTGCAATGCCAAAGTTCAACATGAAGATCGTTTCTTGTTGCTGTTGTTCAACCAATTCAATCGCGAAGTTTTGTGATTTGATATCCCTTAAATAACGGCAGATTAGAACAAAAAAAATGATTCCACCTGTGAATGTAGCCAGTCGAGTGTAGCTAGATCTCTTATTGCATCGAGCGCCTGTGGTATGATGAGCCATTTATTGGGATAAACCAGTAACCATGCCTTTTCGCATTCCACAAGCACACTGGTTTCAAGTTTGAGTCGCAGCAGCTGCTTGTTGATGTGTTGGCTATCGGTTTCCGTTTTCGTAGCATATGACTAAAGGATGTTGATCAAAAACTAATTAGTGAAATCCCTACTTTTCCCCTTTTCATCGTTCACTCGATAGACGTCTCCAAATCCGCCAGGTCCCAGTAACTCTAGCACTTCGTATGTGTACTTGGCCGTCGTGATCGTGACTCCTTTTTGGATCTTCTCTCTTTCTTTACCGGTTCTTAAAAACACGTATTTAATGAATTCGAAGAAAGTACGGTCTTCTTTTGACTTTTTGAGGTGTGCGCGTGGGTGTTTTTCCTCCTCCATCTTTCGAGTGTCTTACTTTTTCTTTAGAAGCCTTCTGAAGTTAAAAAATTGAATCAAGTGCCTTTTAATTCAAAGATCAATGACGTAGCATGAAACTAACACCAGAATTTTAGAAATAATTACATAAAATAACATGAAAAAGCCCACTAGTCTAGTTAGTTCGTAAAAACTCATAGGAAGAATAATATAAAATGTAATGCTAACTTTCTTTCTTCTTTTATTTGAGGGTTAAATGAAAATTAATGAAGATCAAATGTAAATTATGGTCTTAGAATATAAATGCAAATTTATATTTTCAGATGGCCACTCGATAAACTCTACAAACATTTTTTGAAACCAACATTTGGAGTTTATCATGGTATGTCGATAAAGTATTTTCTTTGAAAATCTCTTTAGGAACGGCGATTCGTGTTGTTGTACCGAAATTCATCTTTGCTTTCCTTGGTTTACAGGTATTTCGTTAAATTTTTAAAATACATATTTTTGATGAGCTGTCTAGGTGATCTACTATTATTGGAAATACGAGGCCCGAGATTGGGCTCATCTTCGAGGAATTGAGACATCACCTGAACGCCCCGTGATCATGCGAGGCGCCGAAATCGAAAAGCGATACCCCGGATTGCAGGTTTGCGCTTTGGCGTTTACACAGTAAATTAAAAATGAATTTGCATATTTAATGCTATTTGATACATCTACTGTTCCTCATTTTTAGACGAAAGCTTTGGCGGACCCTTCAAAATTCGACTATCTCTCTCCTTCATACGAGAAACGTACTGCCATTCTTGATGTGGGCGCTCCTGGCCGTCCCTGGTGATTTTGTATTAAATTTGTAGAAATGTTAGAATAGTACTTACTGGACTTGAGTGTAAATTGTTCTCTGTACCTTAGCTTTTTTTCGTTGAAACGCTCAAGATATTTCGTATGAATGCCGTTCTAAGTAGGGTACGCATTATTTTTTAATTGATAAAGATTTTGAATTTGTCACAAGATTTCTATGCACGAACCATAAAATACACTCATTCTTTGCAAAAACAGCATTGTAAAGGGATAACGTTTTCATCCTTTGTTATGCTGAATAAAGATGAATCGTCTTCCTTTTGATGCGTCTATAAAAATAATCCTCTCCATTCAGCGATTTACCGCAAGAAAGGATCTCGGAAAATTCAATGCACACACGAATAACATGCAAATTCGTGGGCACAGTCTCCCTCTTTTTGATCTGAACCTTGCTATGAAAATTTAGCAATTATTATCTAAGAGAATTCTCTAGGGTATCAAAAAAAATGATTAGCGGATAGGAAGGGGAGGTATCAGGGTTTCTAAAATTTTCAAACATCTTTGAACACTTAGTTTTCTTTGATTTGGAAGTTATTTTTGATGCAAAGATCTTGGAATGATGTCAATATTAGAACTCCAATTTTATGATCTGAAACTTAGATAAACAATTTGTAAAGCCATGCCATAACTACCGTAATCTTACTCGAAAACTACCGTACTCTTGCTTACAGTTTTCATCTAATCTAGTTATTTTGCATTTTTGTGAACTCGTGAATAAAATGTAGATAATTTAGATGCCTAGAAGGTTACTGTAGTTTTCGCACTGTAGTTACTGGCACACTTTAGCAAACTTCAGTCTATTGAGACAAAGCTTGCAAAAGAAATGCAAATTGGTGTGAGATCTGAAAGAATGACGGGTACAGCCTGTTTCCTGTTCGTTGCTTCAAAGCTTTTCCTTTCCTGGAACCCGACTTCTGACTCTTTTCAAGTGTGTAAACTTTACGTAATTCACTCCGGCAAAATTTCTCCTTTTTTTCTCTTTTTCGATTTCTTGTTCTTTGCTGGGAATGATTCTAAATGTCCACAAGCCGAACAATCCAATTTGTGTCCGTCAAAAAACGTAAGCAATTCTCCGCAAAGATTTTTCTTTCCTTTATTCGATTAGCCAATAACTTTCAGCAACCATTTTATAATAATTTTTTTCGCAAATGTCCCGTGGGGTTAACAGGTGCTTTTCATTGCCTAAAACATCTGCTTTTCCGGTGATTTTCCGGCCGAAATTTCCTTTTGGATATTTGATTTCTCTTGAAAAGAAATATGCAACATTTTGATAATGATAATCTTTGATTTTTTAGGAATGACAATAGTTTTATTAATGTTTCACTAAATATCTTGATTTCTAAAAGACACCAGAAGCCGTAATGTGCCGTAATGAATTTGCCAGTTGACATTGTTGACATTGTTGACATTCGATCAGTTTCATTTTGGTCTTATTGACTGAGTCTTGTTGATTTCTCAACGAATGATACAAAAAAAATGGATCAAATGCGCTGATCAA